GGGGGGGGGGGTGGTGGGGGTGTTTGTTATTGAGGAGTGATTATTATGGAAAAATAGAGAAAAAGAAAAAAAAAAGAGCAAGAAAAAGAAAAAAAGGAGAAAAAAAAAAAAAAAAAAAAAAAAAAAAAAAAAAAAAAAAAAGAAAAATTTTTTTTTTTTTTTTTTTTTTTTTAATCATAAAAAACAAGAAAAATGCAGCTGTGCACTATTTTATACTATAATCATCGACTAAAAGAAAGAGAAAAAAAAACAAGTCAATTGCTCGTTTGGCAACAGTTTGTAAAAAGTTAAAATTTTAATTCTTCTTATTACCTTTTTTATACTAGTAAGTAAAATCATATGATTAAATCTTAACAAAAAAAAGAAAAACAAATTTATTCATTTCTTTTCCATTTATTATTGAGTTTAACAATTTATTTTTCTCATTTTTATTTTTTTTTCGTTTAATTATGTCACAAAAATCGAGTGTATTTGAAAATTCTTATAAAAACTTCTTTTTTTGAATACGATAAAAGAATATTTTTTGTTCCAATTAAAAGGAGTAAACCATTTAACGATGTTCGATTTGTAGACTCTCGATAGTATTATTGATGTATAACACGTTGATCTTCACTTTTAGTGCATATAATTTCATTTTTTTTTTTTTTTTTTTATCATAATATGTAAAATATAATAATAATCAAATCAAAAAAAGATGCATCTATTCGATGTCCCATATTGTACTAAATAGTAAATTAACCTATTTTTTTTTCTCTTCTTCTTTCAAACATAACAAGTCGTATGTATATGTTAACCGTTCTCTTTTTGTTTTTTTTCTTCTCTTCCGTTTTTTTATTTTGTCCTATTCTTCTCTTGTCGATAAATCATGTATCTTTTTAATAGTATAATCATATATATATATATATATCTTCACAAACATGTGATTATAGAAAAGAAAGAAAAAAAATAAGTTTAGATGACCAACTTAGTGTATTCTATGACAGCATCAAGTTTTGTTAACCTTTAAAACATATGAGTGTGTGTATGATGTTCAACGTCAATGAAAAAAGAAAAAAACAACAACAAAAACTTCCGGAGATATCTGTCTCATAAAAAGCATATCTTTGGGAAATCTTCTTTGAAATTGAAACTTCTTTCTTGTACTTAATTACAAAAACAAAACAACAGTAAAATATCTCACTACTTTAGAGGTATTTTTACGGAATAATGTCTCTTATATATTTTCTTTTATTTAATTGAAGTAGTAGAAAAAAAAAAGAAGAAAAGCTTGACAAACTAACCACGTAATTAAGACACGAAAAAAAACAAAAAAATCTTCTCATCCTAGTTTTCTTTTTCTTTTCCCCTTGATTTGTCTCATTGGAAAATCCTGTTGTTTTTCTTCTTTTTTTTTTCTCTCTTTTTTCTTTCTAATTTTTCAACATTTTTTTTATTTATTAAACTGTCGCGTTTATTATAATTAATTTTTTATTTTTTTTTTTTTTTTTTTTTTTTTTTTTTTTTTTTGTCTGACAAAGAGTGTTTTTGTGTAATCAAAAATAAAAAATATATTTAAACTTGTTAATTCTTAGCTGTAGAGAAATAAGAGGAGGATGTACGTGTCTATGTGCGTGTGTGTGTATGTGTGTGTGGCTAATGCTAGGAATAAGAAGACATATGAACTTAGTTTACTTGTTTAATAGACTTTAAAAAAATAGTAAGTTCAAAATAGACGCGTATTTTTCATTTGTTAATGTGTTTTCTTTGAAACACATTTTTTTATTCGATAGAATTCTTATGTTTGTTTTTTTTTCATTTTTATATTTTAGTGTCGGATTCATGTCAACTTAAATGTGTGCCCGATGATATTGTCAACAGTGAATCTACAACTAATTCAAATGTTAATAATTTAGATTATCGATGTCATTCTTGCAGTAAAAATTTTAAAGATATTGAACAGTTATGTGAACATTTTAAAGAATCAAGTATGTTATTTTCGTTTTTATTATTAAACTTATCGACTATGTCAAACAATGACTAACATTTTTATCTCATATGTCATTAAATTACATAATTAAAAAGAGTTTTCTGTTTCATCATTATTTTCTCTCTTTTTTTTTTGTTTAGATCATTTAGATTTTATTGATTCAAGTTCAATATTATGTTGGAAAAAAGGTTGTAATCAATATTTTTCATCATTACCCATATTAAGTATTCATTTTCGTGAAATTCATTCATCATTACTTAAAAATAAATCATTATTAGATGATTTATTTTCTACAACACGTATATCACCGTTATCATCTATTTCTTCATCATCTCTAACAAGTCCATCTTTAACACAATCGATTGTTCCTCTACTTGAACATCAACAACAATTATCACTTGAAAACGAAACATTAAAATTAAAAGAAAATTCACCACAAATTCTACCGTATTATATATCGACAACATCAAATTTACCAAATGATCTTAAACAAATACACGAACATCAGGTGAGAATAAATCTCTAAATAAAAACATAAATCATTTTTTTAACTATTGTTGTTGTTGTTATTTCTTTTTTTAATGTTTTGTTTATTCTAGTCAAATCAATCTAAACAGCAGCAACAGCACACATCCGACATCCCATTAACATTATCAACACCTATTATTGATGAAAATAAATATTCTTCAACGTGTATAAAATGTTCAAAACGTTTTTCTCGTAAATCTGATTTTGATATGCATATGAAATTATGTAATGAACAATCATCTACTAGTAAATCTCGTAAATTAAAACCATCATCAAAACATCAAAAATCACGTCAACCTGAACAACAAAATACTCTTTTATCAACGGGCGATAGTTTTATTTCTCTAACTGGTAATAAGTGTGATTTATGTGATATCGATCTATCATCGTCTACAGATTTAAATACTCATGCACAATCGTTATTACATCAAACAAATTTACGTGATTATTTTACATCGACTCTACTATCATCGATAACAGCCACTGCAGCTCATACAAACACATATTGTATGCCTGAATTTGCTCAACAGTGGTTAAAATATTTTACAGATACGAACGGTGGAAATTCTTCTAGTACGAATGATTCATTATATGATCCATTAAAATTGTGGCCATCTTCAAATTTAATCTCGTTTGATACATCATCAGATACAACAACAACCACTACCCCATTACTCGATTTATCAACTAAAAAACAAGTTCAACAGTATAAACCATCTACTCTAACATCACAATCGACTGCATCAATCGGTTCTACCTTCAGTATTCTAACAGCACATTCTAACACAACTACATCGACAACGGCATTAGCATCAAATAGTAAGTATTCAGTTCTGAGATATTAATTAGTCACAAATTTATTTAGTTCATTAAAAAAAACGTACTTATAGTAGAAATGTTGTTCAAATGACAAAACAAAGTCTGCTCTGAACAGTATTTATTAAACGAATAGTGTTGTATAAACAAAGCAAACCTATAAAGTATAATGAATGATCAAAATGACTATTACATAAACAAACAAAACGTTGTTTGCTCTCTTTCAATGATTATGGTACCGTTTCTTAAAGTAAATTCTATCTGCTGATCTTTCGATAGCTAACCATTCGAAGAAAAAAAGCAGATTTGTCAACCATATCGATAAACTATGAGAAGATAAATGAATATCATATAACATCTCATACATATGATTCCTACAGTTCTAAATAGAATTATTTGAGAATAAAATTTCACTATTTGTTCCTCTACTTTACTAATTAGTAGTCTGACAATAGTATATTATTGTTTTTTTCTCTATTTTAGACAATTATAACAATCGTGATACTTTGCCACCTACTCCTTCCACTCCATCATCACCAATTCCATCGTTATCTACTTCTACCTCATCTCTAACAAAATCACTTTCAGCAACTAGTAATTTAAAATCGAAACAAGCGGCTATTTCAATTGGTACAGATATTGTTAAACATTATATTGAAAATAATTTAGCCGAAAGAAGATTAAAACGAGAACAATTAAAAGAAAATCAGTCACAAACACAATCACAGATGTCTGCTCTAACAAAATCGCAATCATTTGAAGGACTAGCTTCATTTTTGAAACCACAACCAGTCGTTGATGATCAGCAACCAATCAAAAATATTCTTGAAACAACAAATACGGCAAATAGTTCTACAACTACAACAACAACAACAGCAGATGTTCAGAATATTATTGATAATACACATGACGATTCGGGTATATAATAAATTTTACTCCTTTTTCATTTTTTAATCTTGCGATGCTTAAAGTTAGTCCCATGGTATTATCATCTTGCTAAGAAAGACGTGTTTTTTTGCCGTTGTTGAGTTATTATCCATATCAGAAAATTGAATTAATTTTAAATTTTGAATTTTATTCTTTATGTTAGCTCATCAACAATTATTAACATGTGATTTATGTTCAAAAACCTTCTCCACATTAACCATATTGAAAGTACACTATGAACAATGCCATCATATTCAATTAAGTTCAACAGCTATTGAACATTGGTTGTTTTTATTACAAAAATTACATGATTTAACAAATCAGCAGACAACTATTACAACTCAATCAACATCACCCATTACACCGATGGATATAAGTAGTGAATCGTATACTCTTACTCCTACATCACCTACACCAATCAGTATTATTGATCAGACGTCTAAATCACCATTGAAACGGGAATTATCACAGACACCCATTCTCAATTCATCTTCAACAACAACTAATCAAAATGCTGATGAACAACAAGAAAGAAAAAAGTTACGAGGAATGGGAGATGAAAATGCACAACATTTATTTGATAGACAAATGGCTGTAGCAGCTCAAGCAGCAATTAATAATATTTATCCACCATTATTTGTACCACAAACATCACAGGTAAAAAAACAAGAAAATTCTTATCAGACTTATTTACTTCATCATTACCAATCTTAGTAAAGTCTTTTTAAAATTGTTAATTCTTTCTCTATATTTCAGCGTGATTCATCAACATCTAATTCAGGAACTACAGTAATTACAACTCCTCTAACACCTTCTTACACTCACTCATCTTCAACAGCTTCGACAGCAAATAAACGTATTCGTACTCGTATAACAGATGATCAATTGAAAATACTTCGTCAACATTTCAACATAAATAATTCTCCATCAGATGAACAAGTGATGTCAATGTCATCAAAAACGGGTCTTACAGCAAAAGTCGTCAAACATTGGTTTCGTAATACACTGTTTAAAGAGCGACAACGAAATAAAGATTCACCATACAATTTTAATAATCCTCCAGCACAAACGAAAATTGATCTCGAAGAATATCATAAAACAGGTACAATTGTAAAAAAAGATCAAGATATTCAAGAACAAGACATCTCACAAAAACACGATGAACAGATGGTGAGTAAATTGTTTCCTATTTTGTTTATAAATCATACTTTTTTTATCTCCTTGATGCTTAAAAATACTTTTTTGTTTTTCATTTATAGCATTCAGAAGTTAGTGATGATGATTTATCCTCGATAAACGACGACGATGATGACGATTCATTGACATACGATAATACTTCACTTTTGCCAACAGCTGAAAGTGATAATGATGAACAAATGCAACAGTCATTATCTATGAATTTGACATCGCCAACAGTGAAAAATTCTCAGCAACAACAGCAAGCTGTTTTGTGTGCGGCCGCCGCGGCTGCTGCAGCAGCTGCTCAAAAAAGAGCTAATCGTACACGTTTTACAGATTTTCAATTGAAATCATTACAAGAATCATTTGAACAAAATCCATATCCAAAAGACGATGATCTAGAAGTATTGTCTGAAAGATTGAAATTGAATTCAAGGTACTTAATCCAACTAGATATTCGATTTTAGCGAATTTATCCCTGTTTTTCATGCCCTTGAAACACCATATTTGTTTTTTTTTAAAACGACTGTATTAAACTAAGCCTAACGTCTAGTTTAGTTAGATTTTTCTAGACGATTCTCAAACCTTTTGCGAGTTCTGCCAACTGTTCTGTGCACTATGTCGTAAAATGAGTTTTTTAAATATCGATATATTGTTTACTTTTTCTAATTGTTTTCTGATAGAAACGGTGTAGCCAAAAATGCTTATAGAGAACATTGAAATCTTCGACTACTCCCGTTAAATTAGATCTGACTAGTGAGTACATTCCAACACGAACTCAAGTTTAAGAAGTTTCACAGCTTAAGAATTGTTTTCAGCAAAGTATGTCCAAAAACTATGTTCAGATTTTCGGTGAACTGTGTCGTGATATTGAGCGAATAAAGTTCATCTGTCTGTACAAAACGTTTAGTTCGCGTTCATTCGTGGCGAATGTTGTAAAAAGAAATTTTTTTTTCTGAGCGATAGCAACGGATTTTTAGAATAATAATAAAGAAGTGGCTAACTTGTATCTCCTACTATTACTTTACAATAGATCGTCGAACATCTCTATATCTGGGTTCTCGGAGCACAAAGGTTACGTTGGATTATTGCTAATGCAAGTAACAATAAGTATTTTTTCTGTAGGGTTATTGTTGTTTGGTTTCAAAATGCAAGACAAAAAGCACGAAAATCGTATGAAAATCAATTTAATACATCTGGTTCTGCTGTAATTTCAACAAACGATCAAAGTTCAACAATCAAATTAGAACGTGATGACGGTTATACATGTAAATATTGTCAAAAATTATTTCAACGTTTTGCTGAATTAATGAAACATATGAAACAATGCAATAATACCACATATTCATCATCATCTAGTACGAATGTAGCTGACACAAATAATAATAATAATAACAGTGAAGGAACACAAAAAATAAATAAGCAAATATCTCAAGCAACGATTCTTCCAAAAACAATCAAACCAAAAGAGAAACACAATATGTAAGATTATACCGTTTTTCTTGGTTAGAGACAATTGAACTCAGAAGCAAATCATGTTAAGACAGAGAAATGCAAATTATTTACGTTTTCTCCAATAAAAATTTCTTTTTTTTTTCTTTTACTTTATAAAAATGAAATATCTAGCCGAGTCTTTGAAAGCATAACCATAACTCTTGCTGTTTACTGTATTTATTATATTTTTCCAATCTGTTATCTTTTTGTTTATTTTCTAGTGAAATGAAATCATCTTCCACATCTATTCCAACCTCCATAATTTCGCCCAAAACTCCTTCGTTATTAACTCAGTCAGTTCAATCTCAACAATTCGATGTTTCTACACATTCATCGTCTGGTCGTCATTCATTTTCAAATGTTAAGCGTGAATCTGCATTCCACTTTGACACCGATAAATCATCTTCACGTTCCAAACAATCAGTATTGAATTCTTCTCGTTCCACACCAACCACTAGTGCAACAACTGCAATTAAATCCGAACCATCGGATACGTCACCATCACAGCAGTTTCTAAAAGCAACATTAGATCAACAATTTCAAGATCCAATGACGGCGTCGTATAACATGTTTATGGCTGCGGCTGCAGCCGCCGCCGCTGTACAAGCTCAACAAAATGGTAAGTTTACTTTCAATTAATTTCTCAGGTAAAAATGAAAATCTTTTCCAATTTGAATTTAATACGTTTGTACGTGAAGTTAAGTACTCTTTTCCTCTCAAAACTTTTTTTGTTCTAGTATTCTCAAAGTTTTTAATTTCTAGTAAAAATTTACTCTGTTCTAGTGATACTGACCCTACACAGGACCGTTTCGATGAGAATCTTTTAACATTCTCTCAGAAGCGCTGTAATAGACGACCTCTTTCGTGATTTCTAAGCCATTCGAAATCTCTTTTTTCCTACTGACAGACAACTTTAAAGTAGCGTTTCGACTATAGAAAAACTTGATTTGAAGATCTTCAAATTTTACTACAGAGGATGCAATGATGGTCTGGTGGTTTTCGCAAATATCATCTCATTCTCAATTGACGATATTTCAAGTCTAACGACAGCTTTCCACTGTCTCGAACTCTCAGAAACGTTTTGTCGAGATATTGTTATTTGAAATAATGAGATTGTTTTTTTTGATAAACCAACTATCTGAAAGAGTGAGACTGGCAGGGCAACGCTAAAGAAATCGACTAGAAACTTATGTATGTCACAATTAAAATTACTTTTATTGAGAGCATGTTTTCGCGTGAATGTAATGAATATATAAAATTTTAAGAAGAACAATTGTTATTGTACTTTGAGAATTTGTTGATGCTTAAACAAATAAAATTTATCTAAACTCTATTCATTTTGTAGGTACAACATCCTATAATCCATTTATACCTCAATCGATGTCAACCACATCATCATCGGGTAAAGAAAATTATTGTGATCAATGTGATAAAACATTTTCATCGTTGGCCGAATTTCAAGAGCATCAAAGTCTCCATATGGCCATGTTAAATGCTGCTACATTCTTTCCTCTCTATCATCCAGCAGCAGCAGCTGCAGCGGCGGCAGCTGCAATGTCATTTGGAAATTTTCCTGGAAGTTTTCCAGCTCCGCCACCACCTCCACATCTACTTTTACCATCGACAGCATCTTCATCGGTATCTGATACATCAACGACTAATGTTATTACAACACCAACAACACCAGTACCTAATTTATCAGAAAAAACATCAAAATCGAGTGTGGTATGTTTTGTTGAATATTTTCAAAGCAGTGAGCCTTAACTATGTTGTATTAAACTCGTTCTTTTTTTGTCTTATTTTAGCGTGACCGTGATCAACTGACACCACCTCTACAATCGTCTTCATCAAAACGTCGTTCAACTCCTACCGCAACAGCTATTTCATTTCCAACCATCACTAATTCAACAACAAGTCATCAGTCATCAATGAGCGGTTGTGATGATGATAGTGATGTTGACGGTCAAGATTCTCATGATTCATCATTAAATCTAAATTCATCAAATAATGCCGCTATGAACGGTAATTCAAAACGAAATCGTACAACTATTCTACCTGAACAACAAGATTATCTGATGCAAAAATACCAGTTAGAGTCAAATCCAAGTCGAAAAATGTTAGAAGAAATATCAACCGATGTTGGTTTGAAAAAGAGAGTTGTTCAGGTTTGGTTTCAAAATACGCGAGCAAGAGAACGAAAAGGAACAATAAAAACAGCTATATCAACAACATCATCGACATCTAATGTACAACAATCACAAATAATTAATAAACGATGTCTCTATTGTCCATACACATTTAAATTACGATCAACATTAGAAAATCATTTGATTCTAAAACATCAGGATCAACTAGGTAAAAAAAAGAGAATCTTCTTATTTTGTGTGAGAAATAGTTAGAATGCATCATCGTTTACCACTATGTAATTAATAGTGGTGAATATTAAGAGAAGACGAAAAAGCGACAAACCATTGGACCTAAAACTTTGTTGGTTTAGATGCTATAAATCATCGTAGAATGTAAAAAACAGAGGAAAAAAAATATGTTCATGCTACATGCATTTGATTCAATAATGATTTTAATTTTATTGTTTAGGTATTGAGCAACAACATCGTGATCAAATAAAATTTATTGATATTGATACGTTTCCTGATGCAACACCAGCTTCGACTCCCACCCTAACTACACCTAATCCCCCGATGACAACAGTGACTACGGGTGGTATATTTGTACCTCCGTCAATGAATGAACAAGAAGAAATTGAGGATCAAGAGTCTGATGATAATTTTGAAGAAGATGATGCAATGTTACAAGGCGAAAATAATGCTGATGATGCACCATTAGATTTAACCAAACCATTGGATTTAGTTAAACAAAAGAAAACCGTAGTAAAGTCGTGTATGAATGAGAAAAAGCAGCAACATCGAAATGATCTTATGTATGTATTAAAATTTCTTGTGTTATTTCTGATTATATGTGTTTATTTATTTGTTTTTTCTTCTAAATCACAACTTTTATCTGTTTTTCTATTTCAGGTCTTCATATACAAACAATATTAGTTTAACTACTAATGATGAATTGACAAATAATTCTTTAGACTACTCCGATAATGAGTGTGGTACTCAAAGTGATTATGATACAGATACAGATTTTGGTTCAAGTCAGTTTCAGTTGACCACTAGTCATCCTGGTCAATCATTGTTGAATAGTAATAAAACGCCATATTCTTCAAATTCTCAATCATGGATGCAAAGACAATCATCATCACAAACAAATCTTTTATTATCACCTCATGATAATGGTGGTTTACATTCACCAACAGATTCAACACATAATGGAAACGGGTCAAGTAAAGATTCAAATGGACAACGACGATTTCGAACTCAGATGACACCACTGCAGATTAAATTAATGAAAGCCATTTTTCTTGAATATAGAACGCCGACAATGTAAGTATTATTTGATAATTTATCTCAAAAACTTTAGAAACAAATTTAATAGATGTAGTAATAAATAAAGAATGAATTTTAAATGTTTAACTCTGTTTTTTAGGCCTGAATGTGAATTATTAGGTCGTCAAATCAATTTACAAAAACGTGTAGTACAAGTATGGTTTCAAAATGCACGAGCAAAAGAAAAGAAAAATCCAAATTTTTTTAAAGCCGATCTTGATTTAACGTATGAACGATCACAAGACGAATGTCGATTATGTTCAACAAAGTATACACTAGCTCATGCACAAAGAGTAAGTTTAAAAAACTTGTATATATTTCGAATATGTCATCTATTGTTACTCATGTATTTAGGATCATCTGTTTACTTCCGCTCATATTGAAAATGTTCGATCATTACTATGTAAACAAGTTCAAAATTCTAATTCCAGTTGTACATCTCACTCACATCCATCATCACAACAGTTACTCTCATCTTCAATGTCATCTTCATCTTCCACGACTAATAACAACAACAATAATAATAATAATCATTCTGAACCGCTTCTCGATGATTCAACGTCAACTCTGACGACATCGTCATTATTAAACGGTTTATCTACAAATAAATCTCGTTCGTCATCGTTATTTAATCTTGAGAATAATATTAATTCTACATCGGATAATAATCATATTGATGATCATCGTAGTAGTAGTAGTAGTCATTCTCGTTCTTTAATATCAGATATTAAAACAAAAGAAAAGAAAAAATCGACATCGAACAGTACTAAACCTACAACAAAAGAAAATACAACAAAACCGATAGAACAATCGCCAACAACGCCTACCATTGATCAACAGCAACAACAGCTGATGGCTGCAGCAGCAGCAGCGGGTCTAATGGGAACATCAAATCCATCAATGTTATCATATCTTAATCTAATGATGCCACATCTAATGCCAATGAGTATGTCAACATAGAAAAATAAAAGTATCATTTAATTTGTTTAATATATTTGTATATGTTGTTGTAGGTATCGATCCTTATAATTTTTCATTAGTTGATCCAACAATTCATGGTACACATATATTTATGTTACAATTACCCGCAGAAGCCATTCAAAATATTATGCACGCAATAAAAGAGAATCAGACTACCTCACAGTATACACAAGATGGGAAAACAAGGAACGATTTGACAAGTCTCGATCACAAAATTAGTGACTATGAAATTATCGATGTTGGATTTGCTTGTAGACATTGTAATTTTGTATGTAAGTATCGAATAATCTATTAGCAAAACTTTCTACTTGTTCCAGTGCTAAATGTATACAGGAGTTTCGATTAAAAAAATGAAAAAAATGATATAAGTTGAAGAAAAACGTAAAATAACTTTTTAATTAATTTATGCATGCAAAATAATAATATTGATGCTGCAATTAAATTGTATATCAGTCAAAAAATGATTGCAACTAATTCAATGAAAAAAATGGATTCTCTTTCTCATACAAAGATTGAACTATAACTAAGAGACTAAAGATTGAATGTGATTTATCTTTCTATTTTAGGGCCTTTATATGAACCATGTCGCTGTCATACTCTACTCTGTTCTCAATTAATGCCCAATCAATTACCACTTACATTACAAACAAAACAAGATACACAAAAAATGTCTCGTTATATTCTAAAAATTGAACAATTACTCTATCGTTGTACTGTATGTCATTCATCATATCCGACCGTTGTCGAATTTCAACAACATACAAAAGAGACTATTCATCTTAAAAATATGCAAAATTCACTCAATAATAATAGTAAACGTCGAACATCGTCAACTTATTCAGAGAATGATTCAAATAAACATCATCAAAAAAAATTTAACCAGATGAAGAAATCAACTACTCATAATCATCATCATCAACAACAACAATCGATGACAGTTACACCAACACCTTAAAAAAGTTATTGAAATATTGAAAAATAAACAAAGTTAAAATAGTAGACGTTAGATTCCTCGTTCGAACTATTTTATGTTTCTTCATTCAATTTACAAAGTATTGTTGAAAGTTGTTTACTAGTGATTTTTGAATGGATAGAATTTTCTATTGTCATTTTTCGAGTGTAACGTGTATACTTCAAGTTGATTTAATTCTATAACTGTATGTCAGTTATACTTGAAAATGTAGAGAAAAAGATGTAGTTTGTTTTTTCATCTCTTCCACGTACACTTTTCTTATTCTTTTATTGTATAAAAAGACCATTCATTTGTTGCTCATGTTCATTTTTTCTTCTTCTGTGCAAAGCATCATGTGTTTTGTTTCGTTTTATTTGTGCTAATGAACTTTCTTTTTTTGTGTTTTTAGAAATTCTTTATCCAGTGTCTCTACCTCTAATTGCATTCCTATTGTGATGAACTGATGATCCCTCTTTTTTTTTTTCTCTCGTGTAATTCGTTTCTCGTTCTTGAGCTAAAAGCAAACTCTTTTTGTTTTGTTTTTTTTGATATTACATCTTGTGTGGTTGTTTTGTTTTTTCGAGCTGTTTTTTTTCTTCTTCTCTTTCTATATGCATATTGGCTATACATGTACTTCTTACTTTGGCTAATGCTCTTTTTTTATGCATGTTTTTTCTTTTTCGTTTGTTCTTTGCTTTTCTGAAAAAACCAAGATATATACTATTTGTATTGCTCGTCTATGTTTGTTTGATTGATTTTATTCTCGTATTCTCAAACAGACACAAACACACACATAGTTTTGTTTTGTTTGTTCATTTATTTTTTGTTTTTTGTTTTCTTTTGGCTATTTCAAGATGATGAAATGATATTTACTACCACAACATTATGTCCGTAGAATAAAAAGATAAACAATATGGAAATCTAGATTAACAAAAGATATCTGTTCTATTCACAACGTTTGTCTAGAGAGAGATACGCAGTATAGAAAAAATGATACGAATTGTTGTTGTTTTCTATACATAGATCGATAGAACTCATCGATTAGAAAAACTATCGTATTATATTTTTCCATTAGCTTGTAGAACTCAAAAAGAGTAAAAAATTCATTATTTTACCTAACCTAAATTTTTCCTAAGTGGTTCAGAAAAACTATTTCAACATTGATTTCATCTAAAATGGAGGCTAAACCATTCTTTTTACTGATTCTCTGCTTAAAATTGAAAATTGAATAAGCAGAAATAATCGTCAGGCATATTTTTTGAATAATTTACCTCTTTTTTTAAAAGCGTCGTCATTTCATTCTCTACAAAAAACCACATCGAACACTTTTCTATATATAGTAAAGATAAAAAAATTTAGAAGAAATACTGCGAAGCTTTCAATTTTGACAATTTTCTAACTAAAAAAACTTATTTCGAACACAGTCCTATACGACAAAGTGGAATGACAATGTATGTTCTAATGATCAAAAATGTCGTTTTTCTTTTCTTGTTGGAGAGGCTTAATTTCTCATTTCACAGTCTTCTTCAAATTGCAGTGAATGAAACCGACTTCTACTAAACAGACGAAATTATTATTTATAAGGGGCTGAAATCGAAAAGCCTGCTTTTTAGGTTTGAAAGTAATCGATATTGAAGCTTTCCCGTATTTCCCTATATTTTTTTATTCTTATGGTACATAAAGAAATGTTCAATTTGTTTTGCGTAGGGAATTGAATGAGGGCGATTAACCTTGACCGAGATATTGAGAAAATACTGAGAGAGACATTATTTCAGGCGCACCAGTTACTTTAAAACTTGGAGATTTTTTTGTAGCCAACTTACACATATTGAATTGTTCAAAACATTAAGTAACTCATGAATATTTTGAAGATTAACAAGTAATTCTTGATATATAGATCGTACTTGTGATATTAGTCGTGCCTGTTCTTGTAAATAGTATTTAGAAGTACAATTATGCTCTGTAAATAGACGCCGCATCAAGTCACCTATAGTTATTGCATATCACATAGTATGTTATTTATCGTTATATCAGAACATACCGATTGAATTTGAGACTTAGAGATTTTCTAAAAACCCTTTGATTTTTCGGTAATTTGGAATTTTCTACCTCTATATTTTATTTTATTTCAATAATTTATATACATTCGGAATCAGCGCGTGGAACTGCGTCGGATGATGTATGGCACATTATATTTTCTAACAAAAGAATTTTCTCGATAAAATGTGGACAAAGGTCCCCCAATTGTAGTTATGATAGTATATCGTTCAAAATACATTCCTGCTAAATTATCTAAATATTTTCCTGTTATTTCGAAAGAACTGTTTTCGCTTGCGTACCCACGGAAACAATCTTATTTAGAGAGATCAACATTAATTCTCCATAAAACCGCTCGCTCTGGACGAACACTTTCTATAAGAAAAGCCAAAGAACGAATTTCTAGTTCGACACCTAGAAACTATAGTTGTAAGGAAAGATGAGGGAATTCAGTTTTCAAACTCCACTTTTAGTACGTGGACAAACAGCATAGACTGCGTCAAAAAGTGATTTTTGGCCACTGGATGTGATTGGATGAAAAGTTCACATAAATTCACTTTTGAGCTTTTAGTCATAACAGTCTATCGGCCATTGATCTGAAAAACGCTTAGATCGCGAGATATAAATTTGCCGTACAAGGAGAGAAAAATTTTAAATTTAAAAGATCCCGTTAGTTGGAAAAGTTTTGTCGTTTAAACCTTA